TCCTTTGTAATCTTTCAGCCCAGAACTTTCTAATTCACATATTTCCAAAATGTAAGTTGCTTAATGACACCTCTTTTCATCTATAAACCTCTGTGATTTCTGTTTTATTTGGTGTACTATTTTGTGTGCGACGAAAACCTATGAAATCAACTTTTGACAGACTGAGCTCAGTAAATACTGTTATGATGAAACCAGAATATATATGGATGAAAGACTTATTATTTCTCACTTCATGCAAATGGATATATCCAATATAGATTCTCTATACAATCTAATAATTTAATTTCAAAGTAAAAAAATCACTTACACAAGTCTGTGTTGTAAGACACGGATTTTCTCTTGAGATTTTCTTGAGAGACTTTTTACTGATGGATCTTTTTAATTGATCAGAAACTCCTTCATATCTTTCAGTTTTTTCAGATTCATTTGGAATTACTTTAAAGAATTCAGATTTATTTCCAGTTGGAGAAAGAGAAAGGGTAGGCTTTAAGCTGCTCTGACAGCTAACAGAATCTGTTTTTCTCACAGTGGAACTCTGTGGTTTTGATAAGACGGTCTCTTTGAGGTTATGCTTGCTGTGTTCCTTATTCTTCAAGTATTCATTTCTCCATGACATACTCTTTAACGGGATCTCTTTAAAAACTGCTGAATCAGATGTTCCTTGCCTGCTGTGGCTGATCTCGAGGTTGTCAGTACCCTGGATGAATTCATTGTTGTCATCCTAAATTTAGGAAACAAAGCAAGAGTGAGTCCCTCTCATCATCACAATACGGTTTTGCATAACCTAAAAATTTCAAAATGGCTCTTTAATCTCTGCTGCCTAATTCTAAATTTGTGAGGATTCTGAAAGCCAGCTGCTCTTCCTAGCAACTACATTGAACATACCATAAGCATATTCTTACATCTCAAGTAGTGAAAAGTAGAAAGAGGAGTAGAGGGAGACAAGATTACACTTTTCAAAATGTCAGTCCAAATTTAGAATGCTGGTAACTTCCCAAACTTGTGTGTTACACAATAATCATAATTTCAATAAAGTTTATTACAGCTGTAAATCAAAAGTAAGCAAAAAGTTGACGACAATCATGTTTTTGCATTGAATTATTAATATTCCATATTTTCACATCGCATCTCCAACTTAAACATAGAAAGAGTAACTCCTGTTGAGATCACTTTGCTCACCTTTGGTAATATCATTGAATATCATATTTAGTACCATTTGAATATCATCTAAGAACTCTGGAGGTTAGTTTGTTAACCTTATATTCAAGCTTCTAACAATGTCTCTGCAAAATATCCTGTGAATCAAGCGTACGTTGTTCACTCATACTCCATCTCAACAACGAACAGCAAGTCCGAACACACAGAAAGAAAAACAATGGGGAAACACATCTAGTGTTTGCCTCAATGTTCTCATTCTCAAGGAAGAAAGGATGAGAGAGGCCTCATCTTCATCTCATCACGCTGGTCCGCACCATGTGCTACCACACTGGATTGCAGGGCAGTATATACTGCAAGGTTCAATAACACACTGAAGTATCATCTTCAGTATGACTGTCATAGCCAAGGCGCAGTCTTACTGCAAATGAAAATGATGCGAGTTTGTTACTTACTTCAGTGAGTCCAGGACTGGACTACACAGAATGAAATGCACATTCAAGAAAATAATCCCTCAATTTTATTAATGAAACACGTTTTGGAAGTTTATAGTTTTATTCCCTCACTTCGTAATTTCCTTGAAACACAAATCTGTATTTCCCTCTTTTTTCATGGATTTTTATTTGCCATAAGTGATCTTAAAATCTGTGCTGGAAACCCATATTAAGTTAGATTAACTTCAGATGGAAGGTTACTAAAGAAAACACTATTTTTTCCCAGACATTAGAGATTAATGGATAATGTCGATTTATCTGAAGCTTAAATCCCTTTCACCTTTCCATGTCTCTTCAGCCATATGTATTTAGGTTCCAGAATAATTTGTTAAATACTAATTATGAAATGGTGCCAGAAACATCAATAATGTTTGCTTGATTAACTGTAGTGCATCATATGTAAACTGAAGATGAGAATGATTTTCCTGAGGAATGAGCACTTCCACTGATGTATTATATTCCTTGAAAGAACATGCAGATGTGAAGCTCCGGATACATAAAACTGACTGCTCTTGCTGGGTTGTAATTTTAGGAAGATCGTTCTAATGGCTGTAGAGGACCACCTACTAGGAGCAGATGGGATATAGTCCCTTTGTACGCTGAGCTTTAATACTGAGGTATCAATGTAAATTATCTGTCAGCCTCTGTAAGGGTACATTATCTTATTTAATCTTATTCCTTTACTCTTTGAATCATAAAAGGACAGAAACATTCTCAATTTCTTTACTGAAGGCTACACTGATGAACTTGCCTGTTACACTTAAAACAGCATTTTTGAAAGCACTACGTGGCATGTGGCCACACCTACCAGTCACACAACTCCTGCAATCAGCAAAAGTTCTTGATTTTGCTCTGGGTTTGACAGAATCCGTAAATGCTGCCATGACAAGTTTAATTATACTAATTCTCAGTCAGAAATTTAATCTGAAAGCATGGACACTCATATAATTATAAAATAAGTCACTTGATGGTGAATGGTTCCATGAGAAGATGCAATTTTTATCCTTTACTGATTATTTGACTCTGATAATTGAATAACAGCATTCAACTATTTTAGGGATTAATTAGCAACCACTAAAGGGAATTTATAAATACTTGCAGCTTTCAGTTTGCAGGCTGAAACATTTCCTCCCCAAAAGCCAAAAGTTACATAAACTGTATAATTTTAGCACATTTATTGTGCATATCTTAGGGCTTTCAGTATATTCAACATAAAGAGAGTCAACATTCACTTATTTGAAATTTATCCTGATGCATAACCTGCCCCTTATATTTTACAACTAAGTTAATATTTTTTGTAGATAATACTGATTTTCCAGAGATTTAATAAAAAAGTATATAATTCTCCTTTGCAGCTCCACTAACTTCAAACGTTGACTAGGATGAAACTAGTTAGCCCCGTTAACTGTAATTTTTTAGTTCACAATGCAGTGACATAAAAAACCCAAGGAAAACTTCTGGACTTTTTACCAGTCCAAGATAGTTAAACTATAAAGATATACAAAATCTTTTTATTTTTTTTTTAATTAAAACCAATTTTTACTTATGTTTTCCAGGAGAAAGGCAATTTTCGCTCACATTAAATTATTTAAATTGTAGGCTGAGATATCTATCTTATCTGATACATTTCAAGAGTATGCACATATCCATGTGTTATACACAAACATAACGTATTTGAATTTCAAAGAAAGCTGTAATACAATGATAATGACAAACAGTAATAGTGTGAAAACCTGTTACAATGTAGCTTATTTCAGTATGTAAAATTAATATATATTCTTAAAAAGCACTGCAAGATTCAGCATAACTTAGGCAAATAAATATTTTGTCATGTAAGTGAAGTAAACTGGGAAACATGTTGTGGTTGGGCTAAAGAATTTTGGTAATTTTGCAAAGATACCTTAAATTGCACTAAAAAAGATAGTTACAGCTTTTCCAGGATCCTCCTTCCTGTATATTCAGTGCTTTAAATAAAACTCTTCTCTAGTTTACTTCAGTAATGCAAAGTAGAGGAATCTGAATATTAAATGTGTATCCAGACTTATCAGTATAAAGCTGACTTCAAAAAGCAACACAGAATGTATCTGTACAAGGAAGAGGACGAATATGGGCAAAATATGACTGCTAAGCAATTTGTTGGTTCAGTGACTTCTTTCACATGAATGAAAGGCTTAACTATGAATTACTAATGTAGTAGTTAGACTGACAAAAAAACTCTTGATAATTTGTTAGCATGCTGTAGATTTGTTTAATGTAATTATCTTCTAGCTTTGTAACTCTAATACATCTCCAGCTGCAGTGCTGATACTACTTAAAGTGCAGTTTGCATCCAAAGATAATGAATGAAACAAAGGCTGTTCCCTAGCACACCTCTGGCATATAGGCAAAGAAAAGTTTTTAGTTTATAATACCTTAATACTTTTTAAAGAAGATAGGGATTTTCTATCAGTCTCTCTTCCATCAAACCTCTAGAATGGCCATTGATGTTGTGCCCCAATGTTCTGGTGCTGTAAAAGCAGGAGGAGTTGGCTACTGCTTTCTCTTTGTGCACTTGGCACTGGAACTCGGGGGTAGGACAATGGCATGGAAGGTTTGCCACCTTCTTCAAGAAAGGCTCAAGCACCAGCAAAGTTTAATGATGAATTTAGCTTTTGCTTAATGTATATAAATTTGTCTTGCTTTACAGCTTATCAGTTAAGTAGGCCATATGCAGTGTGTTTTGAAAGACACTTTATTTTCACTCACTTACCATAGCATGGCCTTTACTGTTTGGTACCTCTTCAGAAATTTTTGTTTGCCATTTTTACACTGCTTTGGAGACATATCTTTACAAAGGACTTTAATACACCACCACTCCCCCCCCC